TCTGTACTTGTCTGCGGCAATCCTTTGACAGAAGGGCGAGTGCACGTGTGCCACCGCGATTTCTCATAATGGGCACGCACGTTGGAAACATGCGCATCTTTGCTTCTCAGAGGAGATGGTGTGGGGTTCGCCTTTACGGTTTCCAGATTTTATTTTATTATTATTTTTTTGGGTGGGGGGGCATAAATTCTCCCTTTTGGAGGTATACAATAAAGCGAGCTGCGAAAGGCGTTATTATTATTATTCTTTCGCTTGAAAAGATGATGCTGCGCTGGGGACGGCGAGGAACGAGGGCAAGGCCCCAAGAGAGAGCCAGCTGACCGCTGGAACGTTAGCAAGGCTTAGTCTCGTTTCCACCGTCAGTTGTATCACTCCCACCGAATGTTCTTTGGAGAAATTCATTGGCCTGAAAGCGAGGTGCAGGCACGGGTAAGCACAGCAACACCGCCATCACTTTTTGCCCATTGCAAAAGTGGGACGAGTCCCAGCAAACCTTGTAAATGACGCCTTCTCTGGATAGTGTTTTTCCCTCTTCTTCACATGTTGGCAGCCTCTGCACTTGGGCACTGTGCCAACTGCAGTCAGGGACTGTTTTCCGTTGTGCGAAAGCTGCTTGTATTCTTCCTCCTTGCAAGTGCAGTCGTGAGGCATACGCGCGGGAAGTGGGACATTTAGAAGCCACGTGCCCTCTGCTAGCGTTGTCTGTATTTTTCCGAGACGACGGCCGCCCGATGCTCGAACCGCATTTTGAGTGCCGGCTTGAAGGCTTGCATAGCGGCGGGCCAAGCATGTTCATGGATGTGGAGGGATGCCAATTTATTTGGAAGAGGAAGCGAGCGAGACAAAGAGAGAGAGTGTGTGTGTGAGGGAGCTGAGGTGTTAGGCGCATGTGTGACACTTGATTGTGCTTCACTTTCTTTGCCATTGTTGTCCTCACCATTTTCAAACAATGGTGTTGGATACAGCACGCACGAACTCATGCGATGCTGCGTGATATTGCTCCAGGAGGGTCTTGTTCACCTTTCTCTTCCCCGGTCTGTCAGTGTGTCATGGGCATGATCCTTCTTTCGCGCTGCCTGCTTGATGCATAGGCCACAGCTAGTCTTCGAGAAGTGCCTGACAGTTTACGGTGAGCTGCTGAAGCGTACTTTGCTCTCTACTACGAAATATGAGGGACATTTGGAAGCGGTGCTCTGTAATTTACTGTGGCCACTTGTGGTGTATATTAGTGACCTCTCCGTGAAGCGTTAATCAATATGCTCGCG